TTATATGAACTAAAATCTCTGCCCTTATTCTTTACCTTTTACAATTGACTCTGTTCCCAGAAGAACAGTACCTTCTAGATGGAATGGCTCAGATCAGATCTCTGTCTATACCCTCCCAGAAGCTCCCTGCATCGAAAGTGACCTTGCCATGGTCTTTAAAGCGCTCTCTCTCTCTCTCTCTCTCTCTCTCTCTCTCTCGTCAGTCTGGCATTTGTTATCTCTTCTCTCTAGCCAGTCTTCTTTTGTTCACTGGTCTCTAGTCATACTGACTTTATCTGGTTTTTGGTTTTAGGTTTTATTTTGACACAGGGTCTTTCTATGTTGCTCTGGCTGGTCTTGAACTCCTAGGCTCATATAATCCTCCTGCCTTCCTTTACTAAGTAGCCGAGACTACAAGCATTTGCCACCATGACTAGCTTATTGTTCTTCTGGAAACAAGTCAAGCTGGACTCTGCTGCAGGGCCTTAAACCTTGCTGTTCCTTTTGCTCAGAATGCTCTTCCCCAACATGCACAACAATCTTCATTGCAAGAACCAAGTCTCTGCTGGTTACTCAATGTACACTTGTGTATCCCAACAGGCAGCACATCTGCTCCTTAGAATAACAGGGCAGCTCTTTTGCAGGTGTGATCAAGGTCTAAAAGTCTCTTGTTATCTTATCTCTCATGGATAACAATATAAATCACACAGGGACTGCACTAGGAAAACAATTTGAGGTTTGCACACAGTTCTATATACACATGGCATTTTCTTCTCTTTACAGGTTATTTTCAGAGCTCTGTCACCACCATATGACGTAGAAAACCCTTATGGTGCCAAAGTTCAGGAGCAGCTGAAGATCACCAACCTCCGCGTCCAGTTGCTCAAGCGACAGTCTTGCCCCTGCCAGAGAAATAACCTGAATGCAAAACCTCAACATTTTACACACTATGCAATCTATGACTTCATTGTCAAGGGCAGTTGCTTCTGCAATGGCCACGCTGATCAGTGTGTACCTGTTGATGGCTTCAGACCTGTCAAGGCCCCAGGAGCATTCCATGTGGTAGGTAAAACAAACCAAAAGTTACCTTCAGCTTTGGGGTTTGTAGTCTAATTCTCGAGAGTTGCTATCTTGCTAACATAATGTTTCTTGTTTCTTCCTCTACTGATGCACTCCTCTAACTCCCTACTCACCCCACAAAGTACCTATTAACTTGTTTCTGAAACTCCAATTTTAGAATCACAGTCAAGTGTGATAACTAGATTCCCTGGAAAACATGCATGCCAGTCTTTTGTGCCATGACCTTCAGATATAAAGTATAATGTGAGCAGTAGTAAGTTGGTATAAGCATATTTGTGGTATTATCACACAGAAGCCATCTTTGGCAGTAACTAAGGACTGTTGTTGAAATTATGAAGTGAGGAAAACAAGATCCTTGATTTAATGCTTGATAACTTTGTTGTTCATCTAGTAGAATGAATAATAATTCTGTATGAAGAGCAGCCTGAAGTCCCTTCACCCTAGGGCAGAGTTAACCTCTCTTAGCTCCATGTTCACACATCTCCTTGTGCTTCCGCGGACTTTGCCTGTTTCCCTCTGAGACTGTATACTTCCTGAGAAGAGGAAATTCATGGTCAGGATTGTCATATCTTTGGATTTAATGTGTTACCTGTGCTAGAAATGGGTACTCAGCAAGTGTTGAATATTAGCATCTCTGGGACAGGAAAGTGAAAAAAGAAAGAAAGAAAAAGTCATCATTTGTCTACATCATCTTCCAAAAAAATGTCTCAGACATCAAGCACTTGGAACACATATATAACTATGGACTAAAGACTAAAAGTAGGATGTGGTCACCGCCAGGGGCAGCCGCTCCTCCGTTCTCGTGGGTGCCACTCCTTCATTCTCACTGGCGTCAAGACTGCTCCTCCGCTCGCCCTAGGCTGAGGCCACTCTTCTGCTCACCTGGTGCTGAGGCAGCTCTTCTGCTTGCCCTGTGCTGCCTCCTGTCATTACTGCTTCTGCCCAGTTCCAGACCTCAGGGCTGATGAGGAGACTGTCAGCGGAGCTGCATTCAGACACAGGAGACCAGGTTCAGTGACACATGTCTGGTTTATTGCAGGAAGGCACAAGCTTATATAGGAATAGTGGTCCAATCACAGCACAGCAAGTAGGATACATTATTAGCATAACAGGTTTAGTGTCCTATCACAGTACAGCAAGTAGGATACCTTATTAGCATAACAGACAGCATCCTCTTAACATCCTATCACAGAATAGTGGGTAGGATGCCTCATTAGCATACTGGGTGTCAGATTACAGAGCCTGGATTCCTGGAAACCACATGAACCTGACAGTTGCAATATCACCCTAGGCTCAAGCCTGTCTCCCACAGTAGGAGAGTACTCTTAATTATTTTTTAATATTTTCTTTGCTTTTTAAAATTGATTTTTAGCTAGCATATGAAGTAATTTATTTCATTGTGATATTTTTATACTTTACATATCATATATTTTTATTGAGTTTTGTGATTTTCATAAAATATAGTTTGATGGCATTTAGGTCCCCTCCGTTCCTTGCACCTCCTTCACTGCCCCCTGCCCAATTTAATGTACTCTTATACTTTTGTATATATAATACAGCCTATAGAATCTGATTTGTGTCCCCAAATGCCCTTCAATGTGGGTCGATCCACTGGGCCCACCAAAAGTCCCAGCCCTATACGACACTGTCTTTCCCCCTTCCAGCAGCCATCAATTGCCAAAAGTTCCTTAGGCTGGGTTGGGATTTCTTACCCATTTCCCCGTGTCTATGCTGGGATTTTGTCTGCTTTGAGCTTGCATAGGACTTGTGCATGCTGTCACCATTGCTGTCAGTTCATATGAATAAATGACCAGCTGTCTGGAAGATTGTTTTCTTGTGGTCATCCATCCATTGTGGTTCTTACAATATTTCTGCCTCCTCTTCTGAAATGACCCCTGAGCCTCAAAAGGCAGAGGTTTGAAATAGTTGTCTTATTCAGGGATATGCACTCTGCAGCCTCTTGCTCTCTGCACATTGGCCATTTGTAGGTTTCTATGTTAATCACCATCTGCTGCATAAGGAAATTTTTGATGAGAGTTAAGAGATGCATTAATCCTAAGTGTAGAGGTTGCATTGAAGATGTGTCACTTAGGGTTAAGTGTCTCACAGACACTTAACTTATTCCCTACATTTGACCAGTTCTGGAATTCTGTAATCTCCATTTATTTCAAGAAGCTCTTCTTTGATGAGGGGTAAAAGGGTACACTTGTCTGTAAATATGATGCATATTTAGAATAAAGTAAGAAATTATATTAGTCTAGGGATATGGCAAAAGTAATTTTTTTCTCTAGGATCTATGGCCTCTCCAGCCATGTATGTTTGGCTATGTTTACAGTATCATACACGAGTTCCTTCCCATTGAACAGGCCTTAATCCCAATTAGACAGCTGTTGATTACTCCCAAGATAAAAGTGCTACTACTGCACCAATAGCAACAGTTTGCTAGGCCAATCATTGTTGTTCATCAGGGTCTACAGCTGGGTTGGACCATTGATTGGTTTTCTCCCTTTGCAACTTGTATAGTATCCTCTGGTGCCATGAGAGCTAGTCTTCAGGGAGAAGATTTCTAGGTCAGTTCCAGTTCAATTGCTCCAAGTCCTAGGTCAGAAGTATGGCCTGTCTTCAGCAATAGGGTCTTACCTTCAAGTTTGGGGAGGCAATCAAGGGCTGTGGCAGTAACCCATGTTATTTTGGGAGTGTCTTGGACTACCCTGACCAACAACTCAAAGGGAGGTTTCTCCTCTCTGGCACTGTGGTTTTTGTTAGATAACTTTTGGCTATACAATGTACTTGTATATTTATTGTATGTGCATTTTTCAGTAGGACTTTTAATTAATACATTTCCTTCTGGTTTTTCATAACATCTAAGCATGTCATTCTGTTTTGTTCTTCTTAGCCCCCATCCTTCCCTTGCCCCATCTCCTCTTGTTCCCTTCACCATAAGTAGTTATCTTGGTCCCTCCTCTTGCTTTCATATCACACACACCCCATGACCCTCTCTTTAGAACTCTTTCCCCCAATACTGTCCTTTCTACTTTACATCCTACATACATTTATATGTGTGTATACATGAATATATAAACTTTTTTTCTTTCTCCTGGTCCTGATATAGGACAGACTATTGGGCCATGAACCAGTTATCTTACAGGATACTTTGTGCTAATTGAATTGAGTTGCTGGTGCGCAAGGCATCAGAAGAGTAACTCAGATGATGAGGATGGCGGCTAGAGAATACCAAAATAGAAACAATTACTTCTAGAAATGAATCTGGTACTCCCAAAGTTGAAAAAAACAACAACAAAAAAAGAAGTGCAGCTTTCATGTGACAAATGCCTACTAGGCTCTAGACACTGAAGTTCATTGAAATAGCAGTGCTGTGAGTAAAGAATACAATGAGTTAGAAGTGAATCTCAAATAACTGTGTTCAGGTGTAATTCAAATAAAAATAACACAGATACTCTAGAGACATATAACCTATTACAGCAAGGGTGTCCAACCCTTTGGCTTCTTTGAGCCACATTATCATCTATAGAGCTCATACTCAAGAACCACACAATCAAGTTACCATAAGAAATACAAAGGAGGAGGAGGAGAAGACAAAGAGGAAGGAGATGACAGAGGAGGAGGAGGAGGAGGAGGAGGGGGAGGAGGAGGAGGAGGAGGAGGAAGGGGAGAGAGGAGGAAGAAGCTCATAATGTTTTAAGTAGGTTTATGAATTTTGTGTTGGGCCACATTCATAGCTGTGCCAGGTAGCACACTGCTTGTGGGCTTCAGGTTGGACACATGTCAACTAGAAAGCTTATGTGAGGAAAAGTGCTCATAAATTTTTGCTATTAAATTTTAGTGAGTTACTGAAAGGTGTGCATACAAGCCTTCTGTTTTTATCAGCTGTCTGGTAATCCAAACCATATAGGGCCACTTCAGGGTAGAGTCCTGAGTTAAAGGATAGATGCAAACCCTCCCTACCACCCCCCACAGGTCATGGAGTAGGTGCTTAATGAGTATTTGTAGAGTGAATGACCTGTTAAACAACTGAATAGCTCTGATCAACCAAACTAAATTAATTGCCCAAGCGGAACATTCATGTGCACACATTAGAAAGAAATGATTTCTTTTTCTTCTAAATAGGTCCTCTGAGTATAAACTTTCAAAAATTTAGTAATACTTCCTAAAAGAAAAGATCTATAAATTTCTCTTCATTCTGTTTGACTCAACAAGGGAAAATTACTCAAACTTAACAGACATCTTTCTAGAAGCCTTAAAATAAAATTATACAATATTCTGTCAACAAGAAAATTATCAAGCAGTAAAGGGGAGATGAAAAATAAAATGAAGGAGATCATATAGTGAGTGTTTTTCCATTTCAAAAGGATGTTAGAGTGAGAGGGTCCCATTCTATTAAAAGCTCCTGTGGAATGGAAACCCCATTTCCTTACTAATCTCAGGCTACTGTGAGGTAGAAATCCAATTTCATTTTTAAATAATACTAGTTTCTGACATCCTTCTTCCTGTTTTCATACTGATTTAACTTCTGCAGCAGTGGCAGTAGCTCACTTTACCTTAACTAAGCATTGGCCAAGTCCAATCTGGAGTTAGAACTAGGGAAGGGGTAAAATCCAGGGCAAGTGGCCAAGATTGTGTGGGCTTCCAAGGATCCACTTTCACAAGAATCCCTGCTTTTCCTTTGGAAACAGAAAAAGAATCCATAAGTAATCGACCAGCAGAGACAGTGGTTGGAAATATGAATGATTCTGATTTCTTTCTTCTTTCCCTTTCTTTTTTTTTCTTTCTTTCTCTCCTCTTCTTTCTC